GGTCCACATGTCTCTAAATTTGTTTTTCCTCCTCCAATCCGTTGGCACTCATCACCCCATCACATAATCAAAAAACAAGGGTCTCTTTCCTCCTCCTCCTTTCTTCATTGCCCAGATCCGGCCCATCCCGAGGCCCCCTATTTGCCTAGTAAACACCCATCTCTCCTCTCGGTCCCCACCGCCTCTGGCTTACGCTGTCATTAGCTCTTGTCGGGATCTAGCTGTCCTTGTCTCCAGCTCCGTTGGTCAGTACTATCCTTCACTGCTTCCAGGGGGCCTCCCCAGAACACACATCAGTAGATCCACATCAGACAGGAGCGGGGTGTGTGTGTGTGTGTGTGTGTGTGTGTGCGCGTGTGCGCGCACGCTTCTCCTTTTCCCGCATCCCGCACGGAAAGGGAGAAGGACAGGTTCCTGAGTGGAGGAGCTGGGGATTAAGAAATAAAAGAAAGAAAAAAACAGGAGGCAGAAATAGATCCAAAAGCTGGGTGCCCAGTGGATGCTGTCACTCTGATGGTGGGATAGTCAACACCCACCACAGACAACACAGCCAGAGGGGGGGTTAAGGTCAAAGGAGTTTTGGGTGTGCCCAGGTCCTATTCATTCCCTCATTCCTGGGATTTAGCATATCAAGACCTGGGTAAGTCAAGGTCCTATTCGGTCCTCATTCCAAGTGCATGGATAAAGGTAAGAAATCGGTACTGATTACGGTCTTTTCCAGGGGATGGCCAAGCCAATCACCTCAGACTCAGCTGACATTAATTTAAAAGTCATCCTGTGCATTCCCAAGGGGCCCTCTATAGACAGGTCCATCCTCTTACATCACAGAGGAGGGGAGCCACTGTGGTCCTGCCCTTAGTCCCCCCTGGCCTCACACCTCTGTGCTGCCTGGATTCTGAGGGCTGCTGTGACCGTGGAGTGCTGCGTTATTAGCTCTGGGGGTCCTCCCATCCAACAGACCTTTCTCTCCCTCTGCCCCAAGCTTGGTCAGGTCACACCATTTTCTAATTTGAGCTCTAGAAATGCTTTCCCGACCCCTCTTCCTGCCCACTGCCTCTGCTTCATTGTGTGGCAATTATCTGTGTCACTTCTCCCCCCTGAGCTGGGAGCTCCGGCTTTGTCTTCCTGGTCCCAGCTCCACCCAGGCCAAATGGTAGGGGCTCAATTACCATTTCATCAATGAAGGACCCTTTCAGAAGCACTTGCTTTGTTACTGAGCCATCTCTCTCTGCCACTAATGACTAATGCTCCAGCTTTTATTTCTCTGTCCTTCCCTTCGCTTCTGCCAATTAGTTTTAATCTTTACACCAACACCACAAGGTGCGTAAGGAGCTGCTTTTTCAAATACTTTTCTGGGGAAAAGTCCTTGTTATTTTGTGATTTTTTTTTTTTTAAACCGACTTCCAAATGGCAGGTCATTTACAATGGTATATTGCTTGAAACCATAAACTGTCTCAAGTATTGAAATGGATTTTGTATGATCATTAAATATCTGTACCTAATATCTTTATGGGACCTGGCATGCAGATAGAACATTTCTTTCTTTTTGAAACACTAAGTACAAATTTGTGTTGTACCAAGGAATTGTTCTCTTCAGGCACCATCACCGGAGTATTGCAGTGGGAAACTTAAAATGCAGCAAGAAACTCATGTCAAATACCTATTATTTACCTCATGTCTAAATTTGAGTAGATTTTAATGAATTCTATCCAGATAAGGACTTTAATCTCTGTATTGTAAGATTAAAGATACATCTGAACTCTCTCTTACCCAGAATCCTCTGGAAACAGAATGATTAATCCAGATTCACATGATTCAATTAGGACTGTTTTCAAACTTGTCCATGGAGGCAGTGTTCAAGGCTGGAGGTAGTTGGGATTTGGGTGGTGAGTTTGGGAGTATGTAGTTGTAAGGTATTCAAGTTCTTTGGAAGCTCATTGGTTCCCCCACAGCCCCCTGAAAAATGCATTTATTTTACTTTCCATTTTATGCTATACCAGAGGCCCATTGCATGATACTCATGTAAGAATAGGCCGCCCTTCCCCTGGCTTTCCTCCCAGCCACCCAGGAGCCTGCAAGTCCTCACTCCTGGCCAGAGCACTGCTCCAGTAGCTCCCTCTGCTGTCTCTCTCCCCCTAATAGCAGGCATCCCACCCCTCCTGGCTGCTTCGTGCCTGCATATGCAAATTAAACCACCATATTGGTCAGGTTAATTTGCATACTCACTCCTGATTGGCAGTGGCCGTAGCAGAGGTATGGTTGATTTACATGCATATCTATTATTAGGTAAGGTAATATAATATAAAAGAATGCTTAAAATTACTTGTCACTGAGCGAAACTGACCTTTAGGAAAGTGAGTTAGAAACACCATAGATCAGAAAAGCATGCTCTGTAAGATCATGTCCCAGATGGTCTTCTCCTATCCTGTACCGCACATTTCCTCTATATGTAGTCATTCCTTCATGGAGCTCTCATTGAGCATGCTCTGGATTGCTCTGTATTCCTGGTGTGTGGGATTTGAGATGGATACAGACCTTGCTTTGTGTTATGACAGCTCACAGTTGTGTGTGTATATATGTTTATTTATTTATTCTTGGGGGGGATTCTTTATAGTACCTGCTTTTTTTGAATCACTCACACCTTCTGAGAACTGTCTTTGCCTCTCCCTTCCGTGAGTATACCTGCCAACAGGACACGTGCAAACACAAGTCCTCAGGCTCAGCTTTCACAGCCTCTCCCCCTGGAGCTTTTTATGGTCCTTTCAGGCAAAAGAATTGCTGTCCCTGTGAGTCCTGGGGACGTATTCATCAACCTTCAGTATTTTTATTTTATTTGCATTGGATTTGTCTTCTACACAAGGCTGCCCATCAGCGTCTAGTTCACTGCGGCAATAGATGCATGTTGAACTGACAGACTTGCATGGCCATGGTGGCCTGGCTGCACCACGGTGGAGTGGGGACCATCTGGGGTTCTCCACGGCTCCCTTCAGTGTGTGTGGGTGATCCAGACTGGATTTGCACCTCCCTGCCACTGGGCGAGAGCATTTTAAGGACTTGAGTAGTTTTCACGGAGCTCATAATCCTGCTCCCCCCAGCTTTATTCTATTTTCAATATCCTCTATGTTTGAAAGCCTCCTGGGTGTTGTGGGCAATTACTAGTATCCTTCCATCTTGTTTTTTTATCCAGTTTATTCCTTATGGGGATATAGAAGTATGTCAGAAACAGTAGGGTATACAAATCATTAGCGTTTTTTATTACAAATTGTGGTTAAACAGTACATGAACCAAAGAGTCGTTGAACTCCAGTGGAGCTTTCAGCTCTGCCTTAGTCTCCGTTCTTGCCCTACTTCCCCAAAACTAGAGGAGGCCTCTCTGTGTGGGTTTGCCTCCCCACCGTTACTTGGCTTGATTCCTTATGTTTGTGTCCAAAGGACAAAAGGTTTTGAAATGACTTCCTTACCTCTAAACGCAGTTGTAAATCAGACTTCGCAGCTTTAGGCGTTTGTGGGGGCTGCGAGGACCGCGGGGGGACTGCTGAGGCTCTGGATTGCAGCAGTGGTTGGCACGGTCCAGCCCCTACTGAAGGTGACTGGGGAGCACCTGTGTTCAAGCAGGTCGCTCCCTCTGACACACGTCAGAGAACCTTTGACCGTCAGAAGCCCAGCTGGACCAACAATCTGTCTTTTAATCCACAGATCACACACACACACAAAAAGAAAAACAAAAACAAAAAAAAAAACAAAAACACAGGCATACCCTGAGTATTTTATGTTCACTTAAGAAAAGACAGATGGATGGCTGCGTTCTTTCTGGTGGAGGAGTAAAACCCTGTCTTTGGGTTTTGCTTATCTGAGTTTGGGTTGACTGATGGGAGCTCTGAGCTGCGGTCCTCACCATGCACCACACCCAAAATGCAAGGTCTGCAGTTTCTAATTTCAGGTTCTGTCAATGCAGTGCTTATGAAACAGCTGTAATGTAGGCTCCCTGTGTTTGTGAATTGGAGGCCTTCCCATAACCCTCCAGTGTTTTACTCACATTTAGTTGACAGTTGTCTTTTTTTTTCTTTTTCTTTTTTTTTTTTTCAGTTGAGCCATCTTATAAAGTGTTTCTGAATTATCAGGGACTTAACAGCTCTTCTCAATGCACACACTCGTATTTCAATAATTTTTAATAACATGGACTTCATTTATACTAGTATACAGTAGTGCCAAGTCGAACTTCCATAAACAGGATTGAGAATAGGATGAAATGACTCAGGTAGTGTGAGTAGGAAAGCCAAAGTGTTTGAGAGAACCAGACAGCCTTGAATGTTTGAAGTCTCCTGGGCAGTAGTGGCCAGTGTGGATTAAAACGTTAGGTTGCTGAGCCCAGCGGGTTAACAGAGCTCCTACTAGAAATGGCGGCTTTGCAGAAGGCGATAGGGAGATGGGGATGAAGATGCCATTCATGCCCTCTCACTACTGAGTGGAATGGATAAAAATGATGACAAATTAGAGTTTTACATGACATGGTTTACAACCAAGGGGCTCACAGAGGCTGATACTGGAGGTTAGAGTGATCCGATGAGAAAGAGCCAGGGTAGCTGAGAAAGTCTGAGGCTTCACATGGGCCTTGAATCTAAAAAAGTGTTGGATTTAAAATTTTTGGCTTTTCAAAATTATGCAAAAACCTATCAGGGGTCTTCAAACTACGGCCCGCGGGCCACATGCGGCCCGCAGAGGAGTCTGATCCGGCCCGCCAGGTTTTTTGGGCAGTGAGCGCAGCCGAGGTGTTACAGTAGGAATTAGTACAATAGTTCATATAGTCCGGCCCTCCAGCTCTCTGAGGGACCGTGATCTGGCCCCCACTTTAAAAAGTTTGAGGACCCCTGATACGTAATATAAAAAGTACCATTTTAAATGTCCAAGATGGTGCCATTAAGTACATTTACGGTGTTGTGTAACTGTCACCACTATTCATTTCCAGAAATTAATTAATTAATTAATTAATTTATTTATTGCCTATGTTTGTGATCTGGGCACTACCGGGAGCACTTGCTGCCCTCATTAGTGAATCAGACCAGTAAGTCCTCTCCGAGAACTCTAGCACACAAGGACAATAGCTGTCAAGATGTGACTCTAGTTTCAGGTCCAGAACTTTCTTTTGTGATTTCCAGCAGAGACTCTGTACCCAGTAAACTCTCTATGCCTCTCTATCCCTAGTTCTTGGTAAACTCTATTCTATTTCCTGTTTCTATTAATTTGCCTTCATATAAATTCCACTTCTTATATGTCCTTGTGAGTCTGACTTATTTCACTTAGCATAATGTTTTCAGAGTTTATTCCTGTTGTAGCATATGTCAGAATTTAATTCCTTTTTATGGCTGAATAATATTCTGGTGTATGCATATTCTTTAGTTTATCGCAGTGGTCAGCAAACTCATTAGTCAACAGAGCCAAATATCAACAGTACAACGATGAAATTTCTTTTGAGAGCCACAATTTTTAAACTTAAACTTCTCCTAATGCCACTTCTTCAAAACAGACTCACCCAGGCCGTGGTATTTTGTGGAAGAGCCACACTCAAGGGGCCAAAGAGCTGCATGTGGCTTGCGAGCTGCAGTTTGCCAACCACTGGTTTATCCATTCATCTGTCTGTTGAACTTGGGTTGTTTCTACCTTTTGACTATTGTGAATAATCCTATGTAATAAAAGCATAGTATGCAAATGCTCCTCTCTAGTGGGAGTTCTTCTGGGAGTTCGACCAAGGGGTGTTTGGGCCAGCTCAGGAAAGAGAAGGGAGGCCCTGGCAGCGGGGGCAGCAGGTGGCCAGGGAAGAGAAGGAGGTCCTGGTGGGGTGGGTGGTGGCAGGCGGCTGTGGGAAGGGAGGGAGTACCTGGCTGGCAGCCGGCAGCTGCTGGGGATCCTATCAGTGCATGGATTTTGTGCACTGGGCCTCTAGTACTGCTATAAACATGGTGTGCAAATACTTGTTGGCATTCCTGCTTTCAGTTCTTTGAGGTATGGTTGAATCTTATCCTTATGAAAGGCTCTGGAGGGTATGTTGGCATATGGCTTGAATTCTTATTAAAATCTTGCATTACTTACTGGTCCCAAGTGCCCTTTCCTGCCTTGTTTTTGCTCTTTGAGTACAAGGACTGTCTTCTAGGTTCAGCACTGAGGAAAGTACCTAGGTACTTGCTGAATAGTTCCTGGAGTTCCTAGCTCAGAGCCATCATTGACTATAGTTGGTCATCAGAATGGGGTGTGTGTGTGTGTGTGTGTGTGTGTGTGTGTGTGTTTTGGTTGTTGTTCTTGTATTTTGCTCATTAATTAACATGTGTTCAGGGAACAGAAAACAACTCTTAATATTAGCTCTAGCCAAACATAATTAGGGAAGTACATTGTCTGATGCAAAGAGTCCTGATGTAGATAAAACCCAATTTAACAAACATGTGTTGAGAGCTTGCTATATACCAGACCCATTTCAAAATATGTAATTTCAGAGCAATTTCAAAACTCAGCTGGAATGCCTTATTGGTATTGGATTTTAAATATAATGAAGGTAGAAAGGTAAGTCTGTGTGTGTACACACACACACCTTTTAACATGAATCTCCATAGTCTTCTTTATTTTTATTGTGAGAACATTATAACAGCATTCAAGATAGTTTAGAAAAAAGAGAATAAGTAATACCCACAGTCCCTCTTTACCTTAAGCTCTATTTTCATTTAAATAGTGTGAGTTTGAGGATTGAACTTATAAATAATTTATTTGGAAAATAAAACTATGTATGTTGTGATGGTAATGATTTTAAAAATTTATTTTTTTGAAAACCCTAGGCATAAAGCACAAACTAGTGAGCTCCAATTTGGAAGCTCCTTTTTTGCAGGTATCCATGGTAGTATTGGTGGATGAACTCGGCCACTCCCTTTGCTCAGTGAAGGTGCAGAGTTGACCTCTGACCTCTTTTGGGGCTTGGACAGTGCACAGCTGTTACAGGGCTGGGTGTTTAGGAACCTGACCTCCAGTCTTCTATATGTCAGGGATCAAAGGAAGTGCTTTTATGACTACTCGAAAGAGGGAAAGTACAATTTCGAATTCCTCCTCTGAGGGCTCTAAGACCTGGGAGTAGGTAGATAAAGACAACTGTAGAGCATCAGTGCAAACCATGTGGTTGATGGGGCTGGAATGGTGGTGGAATTTAGTGAGGGCAGGTGATTGTGACCTGAAGTGGTGAGGGGACAACATCTATGAAGACTGGGCTATTCCACATGGCAGGGAGGTGAATTGGTAGAGCAGGCATTTCCTCGGCACAGGCAGGAAAATGAGCATGCCAAGAATAAGGAATGTTTGCATTGCAGGACCCTCAGCCAGCATCCTAAGGGTCTATCCTCTTAGAGAGGCAGGTTGGATCCAGAGGGAACAGCCAGCAATGCATTCCAAGGAAGTGATTTGTAAGCTGTCCCTGAGATCAGTATTAGCTGCTGTCTCTGGTAGGGTTTTGGAGACTGGGAGTGGGGTTGTTGAAAAGATAGTGTTTTCCTAATCTTAGGGTTATGAAATGGAATGAGTTGGGAGTGGGGTAAGAGGCTGGAGTCATGGAGACCTTTCAGGAGAGGATGTTATCTCTGCAAAAAGGTCCATGAATGGCTATGGTGGGTTGGGGCAGCAGGGGTAGAAAGGATGTGGTAGAGATTTCAAAGGAAAACTTGCTGGGACTTGCTGCCAAGGAAGGTAGAAGTCAGGCAGGAATCCATTTGGGAAATGATGGAACCGTGCACATCCATAGGAAGTGAGTAAGTCAGGGCCGATTGGAAGGATATGAAGAGGTTCTGTTTTCAGAATAATTGTGACAGATATTAATCATGTGTTTTCTATGTGCCCAAGCACAGCTCTGAGTGCTTTATATAACAGCCTTAGGAAATAGGTGCTATGACTGCCCCTTCTTTACAGGTGAGGAAACTGAGGTAGAATTGATTAGTAACTTGCCTACATAATACATACTTAATGGCAGAGCCAGGATGCAAATCTAGACAAGTTTTTTTTTTTTTTTTAATATATTTTATTTAAATATATTTATTGATTTTTTTACAGAGAGGAAAGGTGAGGGATAGAGAGCTAGAAACATCGATGAAAGAGAAACATCGACCAGCTGCCTCCTGCACATCCCCCATCAGGGATGTGCCCACAACCACTGTACATGCCCTTGACTGGAATCGAACCTGGGACCCTGCAGTCCGCAGGCTGACGCTCCATCCACTGAGCCAAACGGGTTCTGGCAAATCTAGATACTCTTAATGCAAGAGCCACACCTTTAACTTAGTATGCTTTACTGCTTCTCTGTAATAGCTAGCACTTAGTACTAAAAACTGCACCATCCTGGGTTAAGCTCCTTGCATGTATTTACTGCTTTTGACTCCCATAATAACTCCCATGAGATGAAGGGTTTTTTTTTAATCATCATTTTTCAGATGCATAAACGTGGACACACTGATGTTGAGTGACCTCCCTTAAGTTACACAGCTAGGCCTTGCCTATATTGGCGTGGTAGGTCTCCAGTAGGCAGCAATATTTATTTGCCTGGATTTGCAATATCTACATATGTCCTCAAGATTCAGTCATGAGAAAATTGAATTGATTGATGTGTTTGGGATATAAATTCTGGGATAATTTTTGGATTGAACTTCCTGTCGATGTCATTCATAATCACTTGGAACTACTCTTAATTTAAAGGGGGTAAATAATTGAAATGATAGTGTCTCTGTTTATGGCTGTGCCTGTTTTCATCATTTCATATTCTGGATGACTTTGAAAATAACCCCAACCACTTCATTTCCATATTCTGACAGTTCCATTTAGATGTTGAGCCTACTGGGCACAGATAGTTCGTCTATAGGACTCATCATGTTGTTGGTGCTTAGTACCATTTTTTTTTTAAATTATAATTGACCTTTATTGCTATCTTCTACACTAGGGGTGTTGAACTCAATCAGAGAAGGGGCCAAAATCTAAAATCCAGCCTAAATCGCGGGCCGAATGGTTTACTGAACAGTCATAAACTGTCATTGTGATGGAAACGCAGCGGAGTGCAGTGATGACAGCGCGATGCGGGCCACATTGCAAGGCCTGGCGGGATGGATTTGGCCCGCGGGCCTTGTGTTTGACACATGTGTTCTACACATTAAGGCTGCCCAGTGTCTTCTGATGTGGGGTGTACTTCGCTTGATGGCATGGAGGTACAATGGGATGCCATGGTTGAAAAGCACCCAAAGGAAATATTTGTCTGGATAGCACACTGGACTTGAGACTGGACACCTGTATTCACCTGCAGGGGACAGTTTCGGCCCTTTAGAGCACATTCTGCCTGTCCCTCCCTCTTCCCGATCTTACTTTTTACCTTCACATGTCAACAGGTCTTTGATGTTGCTTCAGTTGTAGCCTTTTGCTGCGGCTCTTGCTGCGGCTCTCCACGGGGAGGTCTATGCTTGCAGCCTTTAACCTGGGGGCAAACCGATTCCCACTCAACTGAAATTGTACTCTAGGATTTCCTGTGGTCTCTTCTAACCAAATTTAGGGACTTTTGTTCATGTTCATCCCCTTTGATCTTGTTCAGCATCTGTCCTAGGCCCACCTTTTCTTTGAAACCTCTTATCTGTTGCCTTCCTTGCATCTTTAGCCTTTCCCCTTCCTTTTCTTTCTTTCTGGTGGTCTTTTTTTTTTTTTTTTTTTTTTTTTTGTCTCGACTCTCTTCTACACCCTCTTATCTGGAAGTGCTCTCTAAGGTTGGTACTCGGTGTGTTTCTCTTTGTCCCACAAGTCCTTTTCCTTGATTATCTGGCCACCGGCTTTTAACTGTCCACATTATTGCTCTGCTTCCAGCACCTGAATGTCAAGCATAGCGTGAAGTCCATCGACTGCCCAGGGAGCGCCTAGGGGCAGGTGTCTTGCCTCTCCAGTCTCAGTCCCTTTTGGACTGTCTCCATCTCCCTGCCCCGCCATCCTGAACATGCAGAGGGGTTTCCTGGTGTGGCTTCCTCCAGCCCCTGTCTCCACCTGGCTTGAATGGCTTAACTCCTTCAGAGCTCAGATGGGCTCTTGTCTCCAGCCTTGTATGTGTGTGGAGGGAACATGCATACTCTGCACAAGA